TATATATATATATATATATATATATATATATATATATATATGATAAACCTTACAGTAGCCGGCCAGCTTTAATGAATAGCATATAGGTGGAATAGGAGCCATCATATCTTTATCATGCAGTTCAGAATGCACATCAGTATTTTAATTTTAATGTTTTTTATGTAAATCTGACAATATGAAATTTTGATTGCTTATACCTAACACTATTGCGCACCATATAAAAATATAAAAAAAATTATTTTCAATAATTTAAAAAGACCAAACTACCCCCGTTATTTTTTAAGGGTATTTCGATCATTTTATATTTTGAGAAATATTTTTTATTTGTGCGCATTATTTTTTAGTACACATGTCTAAAATTTCATTATGATCCGATTTATAGAAAAATAATTAAAATTAAAATAGTTAAATACATTCTGAACTGCATGATGAAGATCTGACAGCTCCCATTCCACCTATATTACTATTCATTATAGCTGGCCAGCTATTGTTAGCTTTTTCCATATATATATATCCTCTGAAATATGTGCCGAAGGCCTAGCCTTATGCACAGACATGAAACTCAAAAAACAACTCGATAAACAAAACATAAGTGGTAAAAACGAATTAGGTGATTTCTGTGAACAATTTGGCTATCATATTGATAAGAATAAACCACATAAATTCCATAAAAGGAGAAATCATCGAATTGATCGATCTGAGAAAACACCTCAATCTTCTCCAACCAAATATAAGAAATCTAAGAAGTTCACTAAAAGATTTGCTTCTAAGAAATTCCATCAAAAAGGTCAAAAATTACCAGTTTGCTATAAATGTGGAAAAGTTGGCCATTATAAAAGCCAATGCAAAGTCAAACAAAAATTAGAAGCCATTACATTAGATGCGCAAATCAGAAATAAAATATATGATATCATTCAAATCTATGATTCATCTACTAGCGCAGATACGGACACTACTTCAAGTAGTGACACATCTTTTATAGGAACAATTCATAATGATGATTTTTATTGGTCAACTACAAGTTCTGACACTGATGACGAAATATGTAAATGTCCTATTACAACTTCTGGTATTCATACTCTAACAAAAGAAGATAATCTTATTTTAGATTTAATAGAGAAAATTTCTGACCCTGATGAAAAACGAGAAATAATTACTCAGTTTATTAATTTGACAAAAACAAAACATATGCCATTAATAAAACCCCCTGATACTTATAACTTTTCTGATATTATGAAGCGTGTAAATCAGCATGAAGCTGCACAAAAAGAGCCTACTATTGCTGAACTCAAAGTCGAAGTAAATACAGTCAAGCTAGAAGTAGCTCAATTAAAAAATAGAATTCAAATTCTTGAACTCCATAACAGAACTTCAGAAATAGACACTGATTCAGATTCCATTGAATTTGATCACTTGCTCAAATCATATCATCCCAATGATTACAAAAATCAAGGCGAAACATCTACTACTAAATCAGTAAATGTATTAAATAAAGTAATCACATAAAAATGGTTTGTTTTAGTAACTATCGTAATAAGCGATGAATACGAATTTCAAACGCTAGCCTTAGTTGATTCAGGTGTTGATCTGAATTGCCTTAATGAAGGATTAGTTCCTACAAAATACTTTAATGAAACTACTCAAATTCTCAACACTGTTGATGGAAATAGACTGTTTATTAAATATAAATTATCAAATGCTAAAACTTGTAATGAAGGTCATTGTTTTCCTACTACATTTATTATGGTTAAAGGACTCAGCCAAGCTGTGATCCTTGGTGTACCATTCCTCACTCTGTTATATCCAATTACTATTTTCCATACCGGTATTGAAACAAATATCCATGGTACCCCGATTAAATTTGAATTCCTTGATAAACCAAAACTCAAAGAAATTAATACTGTCAAACATAGTATCAAACAAAAAGAAGATTTTTTATGATCACTACAACTTGAGATCAAACACAAGATTGTTAGTGAAAAACTTCAAAACAATGATATGATACAAAAAATACAACAACTTAAAAGACTTATTGAAACCGAAATATGTAATGGATTACCAACGGCTTTTTGGAATAGAAAACAACATATTGTTGGATTACCATATGAACCAAATTTTAGTGAAACAAAAATACCAACAAAAGCTAGACCCATTCAAATGAATACGAAATTACTACAAACATATCATAATGAAATTAAAGATTTACTTCATAAGAAACTCATACGTCTCAGTTTATCTCCCTGGAGCTGCTCTGCGTTTTATGTCAATATAAATGCCGAACAAGAACGAGGAGTTCCACGATTAGTTATCAATTATAAACCCCTAAATAAGGTTTTAAAATGGATTCGATATCCAATTCCAAATAAAAAAGATTTACTCGATAGACTATTACATGCAGTCATCTTCTCCAAATTTGATTTAAAATCTGGCTTTTGGCAAATACAGATAAAAGAAGAAGATAAGTATAAAACAACATTTAATGTCCCCTTTGGACAATATGAATGGAATGTCATGCCTTTTTGGTCTTAAAAATGCGCCATCAGAATTCCAGAAAATAATGAACGATGTATTCAACCCTTTTTATAAATTCATGATAGTTTATATTGATGATGTTCTAGTATTCTCTGAATCTCTAGATCAACATTTTAAACATCTTTATACTTTCATACATACAGTTAAAAATGCTGCATTAGTAGTCTCCGCTAAAAAGCTAAACCTTTTCCAAATAAAAATTCGATTTTTAGGCCATAATATACATCAAGGAAAATTTATCCCAATTGATAGATCTATTCTATTTGCTGACAAATTTCCTGATAAAATTTTAGATAAAACGGAATTACAACGATTCTTAAGATGCCTTAATTATATAAGTGATTTTTACCAGAATCTAGCTATGGATGCTAAACCCTTATATGACAGGTTAAAAAAGAATCCGCCCCCATGGACAGAAATCCATACTGTCGAAGTACAGAGGCTTAAAGTAAAAGCCAAGGAATTACCATGTCTAACCTTACCTAATCCTACAGCTTTTAAAATAATCGAATGTGATGCTTCTGAATTAGGTCTTGGTGGCATATTAAAACAATCCGTTGATTCCAAAGAAAAATTAATTCGTTTTACTTCCAAAGCTTGGAATCCTACACAACAAAACTATTCTACTGTTAAAAAAGAATTACTTGTTATTATTCATTGTGTTTGTAAATTTCAAAATGATATTCTTAACCACACTTTCTTATTTGCACTGATTGTAAAGCCGCCAAAGATATTCTGCAAAAAGATGTTCAAAACCTTGTTTCCAAACAAATCTTTGCCCGTTGGTAGGCGATTTTATCTGCTTTTGATTTCTCTATTGAGCATCTTCACGGTTCTGCTAATTCTTTACCTGACTTTCTTACCCGTGAATTTTTGCAAGGGGACCGTACCTTACCACTACTTCCTGAGAACGATACCATTCCATACGGTTTGCAATTATTTCTTGCTAATAAAAATATCAATATGAATAATCCTCCAAATAAATCTAGAGGGAAACAACCCATGGACTTAGTACCTTGTAATATGCCTGGGCCTCTTATGCCCAGCTATCCCTCGTTGACTCTGACACCTATGTCACCTCTCAAATCCACAAACCTACCTGAATATTTTATACAAACTTCTCCTCCAAGTCCAATACAAACTCCAAGTCCGGCATTCTCACCGGCAACATACCCAAATAAGCAAACCTCCACTACTACTAAATTCGTTTATATTGAAACAACATTCTTGTCTGATATACCCATTTCTGACAATCATGTGCAAATTGACCCAAATAAACTTGCTCCCCTTTACTTTGTAAACCACTTAAATCCATCACATGGAGTTAAGACTCGAGAATGGTAAGAATCCATTCTCATGGAAACCGGTTCTGTTTCTATTGTGCACTTTTATCCACTAAATCAATATATATGTGATTATTATGTTTCTCAGAAATGCAATTTAAGATAGTATTTAGCATCAAAATTCGTAATTATACTCATACTTGGATAGTTATAGACATATACATTATTGCGGCCATCTTTAACATCATAGCATTCTTATACTATGTCAGTATATTACAACAAGTAATAACTTACCATAGTTTAATCTTCCAGTTCTTAAGATAAGTTAAGATAGTGCTAGAGAGGGTGATCTTGCGGCATTTATTATCTTAAGAACTGAAAGATTAAACTATGGTAAGCTATTACTTGTTGTAATATACTGACATAGTATAAGAATGCTATGATGATAAAGATGGCAGCAATAATGGATATGTCTATAACTATCCAAGAAGTATGAGTATAATTACGAATTTTGATGCTAAATACTATCTTAAATCGCATTTCTGATAAACATAATAATCACATATATATTGATTGAAGAAATTACACACTTACGGATTATTACAAATACATAGGCTAGAAAATGACTGTCATTCGTGAGGACAGTAAGAAGGCAGAGTAGACAAATTACAATCACACATATATGAAGATAAAGCAAAGAGTAGCAGAGGTTACCGACTTGAGATGTGGTACTTTACAGAGTTTTAAACAGTACTAAGCTACTGTCATAAGAGCGAAATAGAAAGAAAGCAAGAGAGCAAAAGAAAGAAGAGAGTAAGAGAAAGAAGAGAGAGAGAAGTCTGAGCTGAGCTTCTTGATCTGAAGGAGTTCCTTGTGAAAGCCTGATTTGCATCAAGTAGGAGAGGTTATTTATAGTTGGAGGAAGAGGTGCCTTGGTGATGAAAGAAGCGATGCGATTGGCTTCGAGGAGATAAGGCAACTGTCAGGAGGAAGCTGTCATGAAGTGACGGTGTAGGATGAGTGGAATGCAACGTAGCTGACTGATAGTAGTTCCGTAGAAGATTCGACTGACGAAGGGCTTGAGTGAGTACGACGTGACTGGCAGATATTGGTTCTGTAGAATATTCGACTGACGAAGGGTCATTCAGGGGACATGAGGGTCCCAAAGGAAAAGGACGTGGTAGGTGGGTTGTGGCAGTGATGGTGAAGGTCTCATACGTGTGAAGGATAAGTGGTGACACGTATTCAAAAGGAATCTGTACTATGCGGCTGATATGGCATCACTGAGTCAAATCCAAGAGGAGAGAATCTTTTTATCGTGGTATGTTGTCGTCTTATGGAGGTGTAGTCATGTCTATGATGCTTTTTGTTGTGGTGAGGTCTGATTATACTTTTGTTGTCGAAGAATCGGACTGTCAGGCTATTGGTCGGGTCGCTGACTAAAGCCTTCCGTCAGTGGGTTGCCGGACTGTACCGTTTCGTCTGAGGTGGCAGGTGCTGTATTATCAAGGGAAAAGATATTGAGAAGATTTTGTTCTAATTCTTCGAGAGTAGCATTGGAGTGTGCTAGTCTCATTTTTTTCAAGTATGCAGAAAATGTGGGCAGCCTGACTGTATTATTATGTTTTTGTGGGTGAAGTATATTACTCGAAGGAGGTACTCGTTTCAAAGCAAATGGAGGCAGGATCAGTACTGAAGATGTCCCACCATTTAATTTTGATAGTTTGGCCAAGTTTAGGGATGTACTCATAGTTATGCTTATTATTCTCAAAAATGGTATAATCCCATTTGAGTATCCAAGGTATTTGGTAAATGGCCATGAAATATAGATGAAAGTCATCTAGGTCAATTTGTATTGGACTTGGAGGAAGAGTTTGTATAAAGTATTCAGGTATGTTTGTGGATCTGAGAGGTGACATAGGTGTCAGAGTCAACGAGGGATAGCTGAGCATAAAAGGCCCAAGCATATTATAAGGTACTAAGTCCATGGGTTGTTTCTCTCTAGATTTATTTGGAGGATTATTCATATTGATATTTTTATTAACAAGAAATAATTGCAAACCGTATGGAATGGTATTGTTCTTAGGAAGTAGTGGTAAGGTACGGTCCCCCTGCAAAAATTCAAGGGTAAGAAAGTCAGGTAAAGAATTAGCAGAACCGTGAAGATGCTCAATAGAGAAATCAAAAGCAGATAAAATCGCCTGCCAACGGGCAAAGATTTGTTTGGAAACAAGATTTTGAACATCTTTTTGCAGAATATCTTTGGCGGCTTTACAATCGGTGCGAATAAGAAAGTGTTGGTTAAAAATATCACTTTGAAATTTACAAACACAATGAATAATAGCAAGTAATTCTTTTTTAACAGTAGAATAGTTTTGTTGTGTAGGATTCCAAGCTTTAGAAGTAAAACGAATTAATTGTTCTTTGCAATCAACGGATTGTTTTAATATACCACCAAGACCTAATTCAGAAGCATCACATTCGATTATTTTAAAAGCTGTAGGATTAGGTAAGGTTAGACATGGTAATTCCTTGGCTTTTACTTTAAGCCTCTGTACTGCGACAATATGGATTTCTGTCCACGGGGGCGGATTCTTTTTTAACCTGTCATATAAGGGTTTAGCATCAATAGCTAGATTCTGGTAAAAATCACTTATATAATTAAGGCATCCTAAGAATCGTTGTAATTCGTTTTATCTAAAATTTTATCAGAAAATTTGTCAGCAAATAGAATAGATCTATCAATTGGGAGAATTATACCTTGATGTATATTACGTCCTAAAAATCGAATTTTTATTTGGAAAAGGTTTAGCTTTTTAGCAGAGACAACTAATCCAGCATTTTTAACTGTATGTATGAAAGTATAAAGATGTTTAAAATGTTGATCTAGAGATTCAGAGAATACTAGAACATCATCAATATAAACTATCATGAATTTATAAAAAGGGTTGAATACATCGTTCATTATTTTCTGGAATTCTGATGGCGCATTTTTAAGACCAAAAGGCATGACATTCCATTCATATTGTCCAAAGGGGACATTAAATGTTGTTTTATACTTATCTTCTTCTTTTATCTGTATTTGCCAAAAGCCAGATTTTAAATCAAATTTGGAGATGACTGCATGTAATAGTCTATCGAGTAAATCTTTCTTATTTGGAATTGGATATCGAATCCATTCTAAAACCTTATTTAGAGGTTTATAATTGATAACCAATCGTGGAACTCCTCGTTCTTGTTCGGCGTTTATATTGACATAAAACGCAGAGCAGCTCCAGGGAGATAAACTGAGACGTATGAGTTTCTTATGAAGTAAATCTTTAATTTCATTATGACATGTTTGTAGTAATTCCGTATTCATTTGAATGGGTCTAGCTTTTGTTGGTATTTTTGTTTCACAAAAATTTGGTTCATATGGTAATCCAACAATATGTTGTTTTCTATTCCAAAAAGCCGTTGGTAATCCATTACATATTTCGGTTTCAATAAGTCTTTTAAGTTGTTGTATTTTTTGTATCATATCATTGTTTTGAAGTTTTTCACTAACAATCTTGTGTTTGATCTCAAGTTGTAGTGATCCTAAAAAATCTTCTTTTTGTTTGATACTATGTTTGACAGTATTAATTTCTTTGAGTTTTGGTTTATCAAGGAATTCAAATTTAATCGGGGTACAATGGATATTTGTTTCAATACCGGTATGGAAAATAGTAATTGGATATAACAGAGTGAGGAATGGTACACTAAGGATCACAGCTTGACTGAGTCCTTTAACCATAATAAATGTAGTAGGAAAACAATGACCTTCATTACAAGTTTTAGCATTTGATAATTTATATTTAATAAACAGTCTACTTCCATCAACAGTGTTGAGAATTATAGTAGTTTTATCAAAGTATTTTGTCGGAACTAATCCTTCATTAAGGCAATTCAAATCAACACCTGAATCAATTAAGGCTAGCGTTTGAAATTCGTATTCATCGCTTATTACGATAGTTACTAAAACAAACCATTTTTGTGTGATTACTTTATTTAATACATTTACTGATTTAGTAGTAGATGATTCGCCTTGATTTTTGTAATCATTGGGATGATATGATTTGAGCAAGTGATCAAATTCAATGGAATCTGAATCAGTGTCTATTTCTGAAGTTCTGTTATGGAGTTCAAGAATTTGAATTCTATTTTTTAATTGAGCTACTTCTAGCTTGACTGTATTTACTTCGACTTTGAGTTCAGCAATAGTAGGCTCTTTTTGTGCAGCTTCATGCTGATTTACACGCTTCATAATATCAGAAAAGTTATAAGTATCAGGGGGTTTTACTAATGGCATATGTTTTGTTTTTGTCAAATTAATAAACTGAGTAATTATTTATCGTTTTTCATCAGGGTCAGAAATTTTCTCTATTAAATCTAAAATAAGATTATCTTCGTTTGTTAGAGTATGAATACTAGAAGTTGTAATAGGACATTTACATATTTCGTCATCAGTGTCAGAACTTGTAGTTGACCAATAAAAATCATCATTATGAATTGTTCCTATAAAAGATGTGTCACTACTTGAAGTAGTGTCCGTATCTGACCTAGTAGATGAATCATAGATTTGAATGATATCATATATTTTATTTCTGATTTGCTCATCTAATGTAATGGCTTCTAATTTTTGTTTGACTTTGCATTGGCTTTTATAATGGCTAACTTTTCCACATTTATAGCAAACAGGTAATTTTTTACCTTTTTGATGGAATTTCTTAGAAGCAAATCTTTTAGTAAACTTCTTAGATTTCTTATATTTGGTTGGAGAAGACTGAGGTGTTTTCTCAGATCGATCAATTCGATGTTTTCTCCTTTTATGGAATTTATGTATTTTATGTGGTTTATTCTTATCAATATGATAGCCAAATTGTTCAGAAAAATCACCTAATTGTTTTTTACCACTTATGTTTTGTTTATCGAGTTGTTTTTTGAGTTTCATGTCTGTGTATAAGGCTAGGCCTTCGGCACATATTTTAGAGGATAATTCGCCTAACGTATATTGAGAGTAATTGATTGTACCACCATGTTTATTTTTCAGACGTTCTTTGACTTTTTCGGCGAACAGATATGGTAGACCTGCTACGAATTTTTCTTTCTAATGGTCAAGGTGACTATCTTCTCATGTAAGTAAATGAGAGAAAAACACGTCTTTATACCACTTATAATGGGATAATGTGGGACAACGTAAATTCGATAAAAGATCAGCAGTTCGTGCTGCGAGTATGGCAGTATTTCCGATGAAATGAAGGGCAATTGTATAAATAAGTGAATTGACAGCATCACTTTCAGTATATAAAACATCTTGATTTTGTTCATTTTTTGCTGTCCATTGACGCGTATTTGTTAATATTTGTTGTTTTGTTTGATCATTCAGATGGGAATCCCACCATCCTCTTAGCCATCTAGTAAATCCTGAAACGATGGCTTTTGCAATTTCCTAATCATGGCTACCAGCCATTTTACATGCTGAAGCATACATCGTCATATGTTTCAATGTATCTAGTATGCGATGGTCGAAAATTCCATCAATGTTCCAATCTATAATAGTTCGACCAGTGTATGTAGATGTATGACTTGTAAGGTCTTCTTCTAATTGGATATCAACTGGAGTTGGTCTCTTATAATATGGTCGAGCATTTATTGGCTGCCAATTTTTACTATAATTGACCCGATTTATAGTATCTTCAGAAAAAGCTTTTTGAATATTTGTTATTGTGTTTCTTATTGGAGGTTCAATATTTTTATTTTCTTGAAACATCGTTTCTTTTTGGAGAGTCATATTATCATGCTCTAGGATTTTTGTTTTCCCTCTATTGGTTTCGGGTATAAAGAGTTTCTTTTTGGGTTCTTTTAGTTCTAATTTGGATAATTTGAAAATTAATTGATCCATGAGTGTTTTATTATCATCTCCGATATGGAATTTTTCTTTATTTAATTCAGGAGGAGGTTTAAAGAATAATTGCTTTGGTTCCTTATATGATATGGAAGGAAGTAATAAATTTTCTATTCGAATAGTTTGTTTTCCAATAGTTTGAAGATAGAGACTCGTATAATTGTTTTGTTCAATTATATGTGGGAGTAATTCCATGCGAGATAGATTAGCGTTATTTAATTTATAAGGTGTAGCTAATGTTTCGTATACTACTATTTGGGTTGAAGGATTTGTTTCATCAGTGTTATTGTCTGGACCTGTAGTGGCTTTATCAGACATTCCTTATACTTTAAGACTTTGTTCAGGAGGATGTATAGCTTTGATTGTTTTTCTTTCTGTAGTATTGAATATGGTATACTGAGTTTCAAGTGTATTTATTTCAAAATCGGGGATAGGAATTTGTTTTTGGTGTAAGATATCTTTTAACCAATCAAAGAAACATGTACTTTTGTTGCCTTGTTTTCTCCATTTGTTGAATTTTTTATGGAATAAAGAAATGAGTTTGGGATCAAAAGTATCTACATACCATTCTCTGATATGTTTATTTTCTTGAGATAAATAATCATTGATTATGAATTTATTATCTAATGTTTCTTCTAGTAGTAAGACTTGAATAAATTCCGCTTCATCAGGTTCTTCCTGAGCTTGTTTATATTGAGGAATAATAATATTATCTGATTGTTCGCATTAGTCCATCAATTTGTGGTCTAAGCGTAGTAGGCGTTGATGGAGTGGTTATGATTGGAGGAATTCTGTTGTATGTAGTAACAGATTTTCTTGCTGGTTCTGGTTTCCTGAAAGAAGTACTTGAAATACTAGAGATGGATGAATCATCTATAGGTTGAAAAGATCTATTATTTGTGAATTGGATTTCAATATTTCCATCTGTATGTTCAATAATTTTATCCGGAATGTTTTGGATAGATGTTTGTGATGGTTGGTTTTCATTATGAATGGACCATGTTTGTGGTAAGATAATATCTGACCAAGATATTGTCTTTGGGATGATGGTATTTGATTTTTCCATATTGGTTTGGAAGAATATCGTTTGTCCTCGTGTGTCTACTTGCAGTACATTGGGACATAAAGTATTCATTACTTTGTAGTACAGACGATATACTATGGCTATATTTTGGGAACCTATTAGCATATCAAATCCTTGAGTTTTCAAGTTAATGATAAGACGTTTAGAATATTTGGATCTGTAAGTGATACAGAATAATTAGAAAAACAATTAAAATAAATAGGTCCGCTACATAAACTTGATTCAACCATTCCGAGTAATGAGTCGGAAAATCTATTATGTCTAGTATCACGTAAACATACTAAGATAGAATTGTTAAGTCCTAGGCGAGTTAAAGGTTTAACTGCGATTTGCATTAATCCTATGTGAAGATATTTATAATTGTTTGTTTTATGGACTTGTAATATTTTATTTGATAATAATTGGAAATCTTCTTGGTTACTTGTAACAGCTAGAGTTTGTTCGACTGTTTTGATAGCATATCCTATTTTTAGATCAAATTTACCTTTTTTATATACATCAGATATTGGAACCTTTGGTATGTTCCAATTTTGAATTTGGGTTTCTATATCATTTATAATAATTTCTTCTTTATTTTAACTCTTAGAGTACTATTAGTGGAACTACTTACTTTATCTGATAGATTCTTAATAAATTTTTCCATTATTAGGTTGCGGTTGAGTATTATCTAGACAGTCCTCTGTGACTATCGTAATATATATATATATATATANATATATATATATATATATTATAGTAAGTAGGCACGTATAGTACGTACGACTACGAACGACGNGTACCGACGACTATTACGTAGTACGG